GGTGTACATAATAGGTGCTTGATAAATATTTGCTTAAAAGAGAGTGGGGAGAGAAAAGGAAGGCAGGTGAGAGAAGACGGAGGGATGAAGGAAAGAGGGAGGAAAAGAAAGAGGGAAGGCGCTACCCCAGATAAAGAACTTGGCTGGTTAATCAGAATGCGGTCTATACACACAGTGGAATAACATTCAGCCTTAAGAAAGGAAAGAAATTCTGGCACATGCTACAATGTGGATGGCTGCTGAGAACACTGGGTTAAGTAAAATACACCAGTCACAAGAGGACAAATATATATATGATTCCTTTTGGCCAGGTGCAGTGGCTCACACCTGTAGTCTCAACACTTTGAGAGGCTGAGGTGGGAGGAGGATCACTTGAGCCAGGAGTTCAAGACCAGCCTGGGCAGCATAGTGAGATCCCATCTCTAAAAAAAAAATTTTTTTTTTAACTAGCTGGGCATGGTGGTGCACACCTGTAGTCCCAACTACTCAGGAGTCTGAAGGGGGAGGATCGCTTGAGCCCAGGAGGTTGTGGCTGCAGTGATCTGTGACTGTACCACTGCACTCCAGCCTGGGTGACCGAGTAAGACCTATCTCTTGAAAAAAAAAAAAAAGCTGATTCCTATTATGCAAGGTACCTAGAATAGTCAAATTCATAGACATAGAAAGTAGAATTGTTGCCAGGGGCTGGGGGAGGGAGAAGCAGGGAGTTATCATTTAGTGGGTACAGAATTTAGGGATATGAAAACACCTGGGGGAGTTAGAGAGGAGTGATGGCTACACAACAATGTGAATGCGCTTAATCCCACTGAACTGCACCTAAAAACGGTTCAATGGTGGATTCTATGCTACATTTATTTTACAACAATAAAAAGTTTACGTTTCCCTAAAGTTTAAACATTTTAAAAAGGGGCTCATCTGACAGGCGTGGTAGCCCACATCTGGATTCCTAGCACTTTGGGAGGCCGAGGCGGGTGGATCACCTGAAGTCAGGAGTTGGAAACCAGCCGCCTGGCCAACATGGTGAAACCCCGTCTCTACTAAAAACACAAAAATTAGTGGGGCGTGGTGACGCGTGCCTGTAGTCCCAGCTACTCGGGAAGCTGAGACAGGAGGATCACTTGAACCTGAGGGGCGGAGGTTACAGTGAGCCGAGATCGCGCCACTGCACTCCAGCCTGGGTGTCAGAGTGAGACTCCATATAAAGAAGAAAAGGAAAATGAAAGGTTTCATCACAGTGCCTGGCTGTGCTGAGCACGGAATACATGTGCGTGATTGTCTTTGTTCCGAGTGTCATCCGGACTCATCAACAGCCATGTCAAGCATCCTTCCCTTATCTCACAGCGAAGAGCTCTCTGCACCTGCGGCCTGCTCTGCTCCACCCAGCCTCCACCCCTACCACACCACCAAGAACCTTTCTCTCCAAAATCACCCGTCACCTGTCTTCCTTCCAGAGGTATCTGACCCACCCTCCACCACTGCCTCATTTAAAAAAAAATGTTCTCTCTTTGGACACAGTGGCTCAAGCCTATAATCCCAGCACTTGGGGAGGCCAAGACAGACAAATCGCTTGAACCCTGGAGTTGGAGACCAACCTGGGCTACATCATGAGACCCCCGTCTCTACAAAAAAATACAAAAATTAACTGGCTGTGGTAGCCGGCACGTAGTCCCAGCCACTCAGGAGGCTGAGGTGGGAGGATTGCTTGAGCCGAGGAATTCAAGGCTTCAGTGAGCTGTGATTGCGCCACTGCACTCCAGCCTGGGCAACACAGCGAGACCCTATTAAAAAAAGAAAATAAAAAAGAAACCTGGCCAGGCTGGTCTCGAACTCCTGACCTCAGATGATCCACCTGCCTCAACCTCCCAAAGTGCTAGGATTACAGGCAATAAAGAATTCCCTTGGAACCCTGGGGTGGGGTGGCATGAAGGAGCCATCCCTGGGCTCCTGTGGGTTCACCAAGGCCTTCTGCTTAAGCAGAGTGGACTTTTTAGGAAGAGGGAGAACTTGTGTTTACTAGGAAATTCTGTTTTATTTTTAATATTTTCCTTTGAGATAATTATAGACTCCCTAGAGGTTACACACGCAGTGCATGGGGGCATCTCCCTCACCTGCCCTCCCGCCATGGCGATACCTTGTGTAACTTAGTCTAGAATGGAAACCAGCAAAGCCACACAGGAACCAAACTATTAACGAGACTACAGACCACGCTGCACACTCACTTTTCACACACTTTTCTTTGCACGTGTGTGTGTGCGCATGGGCTTATGTGTGTCTTTAGCTCAGGTGCAGATTCGTGTAATCACTGCCACATCCAGTACAGAGCTGATTCATCACCACAGAGCAGCCCCCTCCTGCCACCTCATCTCTGGGTCCCAAGAGAATCCTTTCTTAAAAGAGGGGGCTCTTGCTGGGCACGGTGGCTCACACCTGTAATCTTTGCACTTTGGGAGGCCAAGGCAGGTGAATGATTTGAGGTTGGGAGTTCGAGACCAGCCAGGCCAACATGGTGAAACCATGTTTTGTATTTTTTGTAAAAATACAAAAAATTAGCCGGGCGTGGTGGGGGGGGGGGAGTGGTCATGTAATCCCAGCTACTCGGGAGGCTGAGGCAGGAAAATTGCTTGAACTTGGGAGGTGGAGGCTGCAGTGAGCCGAGATCACGCCGCTTCACTCCAGCCTGGGCTAAAGAGCAAGACATCATCTCAAAAAAGAAAACAAAAACAAAAAAACAAATGTAAAAATAAAATTTAAAAAAAGAGGGGCTTCTTGTGTGGATGCAGAGCCTGAACCATGGCAGAGGAGGCCAGGAAGGCTCCCCAAGGCCTTCAGCTCAAAGCAGGGAGGCCTGTAGTTAAACAGGAACAGTTCAGGAAACAGAACGGCTCCTGGGGAGAGACGCTGTGTAGATTGAGAGGCAGGTGCAGAGACAGTGCATCCCCATGTGCAGAGAGAGACCCGGCCCAAGCACCAGCTCAAAGAGCCAGCCGAGGCGGGTGCCCAGGCGGAGGAAGGCTGAGGCTGCATGAGCAGTCACAGGCAGCCTCCTGAGTCACCACGTGGTCCAGGCGTGCGGCTGCCCAGGCCCAGAGACAGACACAAGTGTTACGGAATTTAAGGGGCTGGGGGAGGGGCTGAGGAGGGTAGGCCCTCCTGGAAATGAGGATGGGACCCCTGCCAGCTCCAGAACCCCTCTGCAGACTGGCCAGAATCCTCCCCCTCTCGCTCATCTCTCCTGTTCTCTGCCCTCTCCCATTTTGAATCTCTGACGCTCTCTTAGACTCTGTCCTTCTGTCTCTGAACCTCTGTCCCCTTCTCTGAGTCTCTGTCCTCTCCGTCTGGGTCTTTGTCCCCTTCTCTCTGGGTCTCTGTCCCTCTCTCTCTGGGTCTCTGTCCCCCTCTCTCTCTGGGTCTCTGTCCCCCTCTCTCTGGGTCTCTGTCCCCCTCTCTCTCTGGGTCTCTGTCCCTCTCTCTCTGGGTCTCTGTCCCCCTCTCTCTCTGGGTCTCTGTCCCTCTCTCTCTGGGTCTCTGTCCCCCTCTCTCTCTGGGTCTCTGTCCCCCTCTCTCTGGGTCCCTGTCCCTCTCTCTCTCTGGGTCCCTGTCCCCCTCTCTCTCTGGGTCTCTGTCCTCTCTCTCTCTGGGTCTCTGTCCCCCTCTCTCTCTGGGTCCCTGTCCCCCCCCTCTCTGGGTCTCTGTCCCTCTCTCTGCATCTCCAGCTCTCACTTCGTCTCTGTACCTAGCTCTTCCTCACCCCCCTACAGATCCCAAGTTGGGGAATGCCAGTTCTGGCACCAACCTTCCTGCTCCCTGCTGGGGCCTCTGCTCCCCCATCTCTCAGGAGCCAAAAGTGAGAAAGCAAGGTGGGCAGCCCTGCCCCAGGTCCAGGTACCTCCCGCCCTCCTGCCTGTCCTTCATCCCACCCCGCCTCTGCATCTCTCCCTGGTGCTGCCATCGCTTATCTCTGCCTCTGTCTTCCCTGTTATTGTCCCCATCCCCTATAGCTGCCCTCCTTCCCATCTCCCCTCTGCCATCTGCCTGCCTGTCCCGTCCTCCTTTCTCCCACCGTGTCCCGTTCCCCTCCACGTCTCCCACGTGCAAGGCCCTCATCCTCATCGCTGTTGTTCTGTGTCTGCGGTGGTGCAGCCTGCGGGGGCATCTCAGCCTCGCCTCTCTCTGCTGTTTCCTCTTTCTGTGTGTGTTTCCATCTGTCTTCACTTTCTTCCCTCCGCTTCTCCACGCTCCTCTCTCCCGGCATCTCTGTCTCCCTCCTCCTCCGTCTGGTTTTCTCCCAGCATCTGCCTCTCCTGTTCCCTGTCACGTCCAGCTTCCACGTCTTTCCCCACCTCTCTCCTCAGCTCCTTCTGTGAGCACGTGTCCCTCTGTACTCATGTTCCTGGACACTCTGTCTCTCCAGTCTTGTCTTCCCATCCATTTTCCCTCTGTCTCTCTCTGTGTCTCCCTTTCTCTCTCTCTCTCTGTCTCTCTCTGTCTTTCTCCCCCTCTGTCTCTCTTTGTCTCTGTCTCTCCATCTCTCTCTTTCAGTCTGTCTCCGTCTCTGTCTCTCTCTCTCTGTCTCTGTCTTTCTCCCCCTCTCTGTCTCTCTTTGTTTCTCACTCTCCATCTCTGTGTCTCTCTGTCTGTCTCCATCTCTCTGACTCTTTCAGTCTGCCTCTCTGTCTCTGTCTGTCTCTGTCTCCTCCCATGAGTCCCTCTCTCAACCCCTTGGTGCCTTTTCCTCGGAGGCTCCCCACCCTGGTGTCCTGACTCCACCACCAGATCCACCACCTCCAGCAACTGGGAGCCCTCCCCTGCCCACCCTGCCCTGGCGTCCCCTCCCAGGATTCCTTCTGGATTATAGCATCTTCCCGGGGCGGGTTCTCATGAACAATTGTGGCTGCTTTTTTGGCCAGAGAGAGGAGGGAGGGGATGGGACCAGGGAGTCCTGGAATGGGAAGTAGGCAATAAAAAAAAATGTCAGAAGCAGGGCGGCGGGAGTGAGTGGGGGCAGGGCCAGCTGTCCCGACCAGGGATAAAAGGCTTTGCCAGCGTGACTGGGAAGAGAGACACCTCCCCTCCTTCCTTCACCAGGACATCAAGGAGGGACCTGCTGGCTCTACATCCTCCAGCCTGCAGGCCCCGCCCTCCTGGTCTCTGGCCTCCACCTCTCCGCTCTGTCTTCATGTCTCTGAGGGTCTTGGGCTCCGCGTAAGTGGCCCTCGCTGTCTCTCCCTCTCAGCCCCGGATTCTGTTGAAGGTTCCTCCTCTCTCACTGTCTCTGCGTTTGACAGCACCTGGCCCTCAGCCCCTAAAATGTTCCTCCTGCTCACAGCACTTCAAGTCCTGGCTGTAGGTAAGAGAACAGTGGAGTATGAGACAAGGGGGTCCCCTGGAGACCCCAGGAAGAGATGGGGAAGGGTCCTTGGGGCCCCCGGATGCTCCTGGTAACCTGATAAGAGCAGGGAGCAGTTTAGGGATCGTGGCGGGGGAGCGCGCTGGAGGCCTAAACTCCCAGTGGTGGAGGTACGAGGAAATTGTGGGGCTGGGGAGAAAAGTGTTTACAGGATCTGGTGCTAAATCAGTAAGGAATCGTAGAGAACTATTAGGTCCTGAGTGGGTCGTAGCAGAAAGCTGTTATGGTTTTCCCTTCCAAGCTCTTCTCTAGACCTCGGACCAGGCGCCCGCCGCTACATTGGGTTCCAGCTCTCCATTGAGATGGGGCTTTCCTTGACCTCGTTAGGAAAGAAGCAATGTGGGGAAGATACTTTGATGTCAGAGGGACAAGAAGGACGATGGGGTGGTGGGATGTGCCGTGGGGTGTGGTGTGGTGGATGAGGGCAAGTGTGGGCAAGATAGGGTGGACCCTCGGGGTCCTGCTGAGTGGGAGTGTTGGGAAAGATACAGGGAAGTCCTCGAATGTGCTGGGGAAGGGCTCCCTGGGGGAAACGTGGGGTATCGGGAGAAGTGATCACAGACATTATGGGAGCACAGAGCTGAGGGCCGAGGACGTAGGGCCCCGGATAAGGTGGCCATAGTGCAAAGTAAGAGACGCTACGCAGGTGACTTGGGAGGTGAGTCAGAAAACTCTCTGTCGGGACAATAACGGAGTCGATATTGGACATGTCTCACCCTGGGTGGGACAGATAGAGGTGGGCGGCTTAGGGGTTAGGCCAAAAGGAAGGGGATTTGTCAGTTCTGGAATCCTACAAACGTGGGGAGTGGAGAGTGCTTGCTCACCTACTTTCTCCACCCAATGCTGTCCACTCCTAGCCATGACACGGAGCCAAGAGGATGAGAACAAGATAATTGGTGGCTACACGTGTGCCCGGAACTCCCAGCCATGGCAGGTGGCCCTGCTGGCGGGTCCCGGGCGCCGCTTTCTCTGCGGAGGCGCCCTGCTTTCAGACCAGTGGGTCATCACCGCTGCTCACTGCGGCCGCCCGTAAGTGGCCCCCTCCCCTGTCCCTGTGCCCAGTGAATTCCAGAGTCTAAAGCCCTAGAACTCAGCTGAGAACCTGGATCTCAATGGAGATCTAGAACCCAGTGTAGCAGCTGGCTCCTGGTTCGAGGTCTAGAGAAGAGCCTGGAGCCAGAAACACAGCTTGGGATGTGGATGCCCCCATACACCCCAACTCCGTTTAGATTCTGCAACCAGATGGGCCTGCTGAGAACCTAACATCTAACCCAGTGATTCATCCAGAGGCCAAGCTTTACATCAAGACTAAGCTTAGCCCATTCCAGATTGGTGACTGAATTCAGGACCCTGTCTACATTTAGAAACCCAGGACACTACGTGGCACTCAGAGCCCAGCTCTGGACCTATAGTCTAGCCATAAATCCAGAACTAGAACCCTGCTCACAGCTGGAATATACAACACAAGAATAGAGACAAAACCTGGAGCCTGTTTCACATCCAAGGTTTAGTTCAGAGTCTAGTCTATAGCTTTGCGATAAGCAGCCTAGATCACAGACTTCAACCCAGTGTTTAAATCCCAGAATGTGCCAGGCACAGCGGCTCACGCCTGTAATCCCAGCACTTCAGGAGGCTGAGGCAGGCGGATCACCTGAGGTCGGGAGTTCGAGACCAGCCTGACCAACATGGAGAAACCCTGTCTCTACTAAAAATACGAAATTAGCTGAGCATGGTGGTGCATGCCTATAATCCCAGCCACTCGGGAGGCTGAGACAGGAGAATCGCTTGAACCTGAGAGGCGGAGGTTGCAGTGAGCCAAGATTGCGCCATTGCACTCCAGCCTGGGCAACAGAGCGAAACTCCGTCTCAAAAATTAAATAAATAAATCCCAGAATGCAGATCCTAATTGGAAGCCCCATATAAAACCTAGACGTCTCCTAAATTCTAGATCTGAATTTACAACCCAGACCCCAGCAAAGAAGTCAAAATGCCTATAAGCCATATCTATGCCATAAATGGAAGGTCAGTCTAGAAACTTGAGATCAAAGCTCAGTCCAGAGTCTAGAATATCAAGGCCAGAATGCAAACCAGACTCTGAAACCTAAGATCCAGGCCATAACCTAGAGCTTCATCTAGAACCCAGAGCCCAACCTGCGGTCAGGGGCTCAGACCAGAGTCTAGAACCAAGAGCCCCGTAATCCAATATGAAACAGACCTGTTGAATCAAGAGCTCAGACCAATGTAGAGAACCCTGACCCCAACTGGGGCACAGACCTCAAAGTCTTGTCTGCGAACGGCTCATAAACCAGAGTTTAATGAAGAACCCAGAGTACTACCCAGAAACTGAAGCTCATTTCAATGTGTCCAGACCCCATAGCCCAGGTCTTAATCCACTGCTCAAAACAAAACCCTCAGACTACCCTAAAACAGAAAGCTCACATAAGAATCTAGAAATTAAGTCATAGCCAGGCGAGGTGGCTCACGCTTAGAATCCCATTACTTTGGGAGGCCGAGGGGGGCAGATCACTTGAGGTAAGGAGTTTGAAACCAGCCTGGCCAATACGGTAAAACCCCGTCTCTACTACTAAAAATATAAAAATTAGCCGGGTGTGGTGGTGGGTACCTGTAGTCCCAGTTACTGGGGAGGCTGAGGTGGGAGAATCACTTGAACCGGCAGGTGGAGGTCGCAGTGAGCTGAGATTGTGCCACTGCACTCCAGCCTGGGTGACAGAGTGAGACTCCATTAAAAAAAAAAAAAAAAAGAATCAAGTCATAATCCAGGCTCGCTCTAGAATCCCGATCTTAGCATAGAGTCGAAAGTTTAAGATGTCTGGGACCCAGAGCCCAGGCTAGAAACGGAATGGAGCCTACTCCGGAATGACAGTTCTGACTTAGAGCCTGGAGTCATTACCCAGTTTCACTTAGAACTGAAAGCACAGAGCCCAGCACAGACCCTGGAACGGAGCCAAGCTCTCCCAATCAACATCTTCTTCCCAAGCCAGGAGCTGGAGCTCAGCCCAAGAGCAGAAGGAACAGCAGCTGGGGCTGGGCCGAGAGAATGCCTTGGCCATGGGGAAGGGCGCAGGAGGCCAAGAATGCTCGGCCTGCAGTTAGTAAGGAGCAGGCTCGACCTGGCTGGGGTGGGGGTGGGGGGGAAGACTCGTTACCCAGCTAGAGGGCCAGGGAACAGGGCTGGAGGGTGGGGAGGGGTCTCTGGCTCAGACCCTGAGCTGCGCTCCTCTTGACGGTCCTGATCAGGATTCTTCGGGTCGCCCTGGGCAAGCACAACCTGAAGAGGTGGGAGGCCACCCAGCAGGTGCTGCGCGTGGTTCGCCAGGTGACACACCCAAACTACAACTCACGGACCCACGACAACGACCTCATGCTGCTGCAGCTGCAGCAGCCTGCTCGGATCGGGAGGGCAATCAGGCCCATTGAAGTCGCCCAGGCCTGTGCCAGCCCCGGGACCTCCTGCCGAGTGTCAGGCTGGGGAATGACATCCAGCCCCATCGGTGAGGATTTCCTGCATCTGGGAAAGCTGGGGGCGGGGCCTGGACTCCTGGGTCTGAGGGAAGAGGGCCTGGGGGCCTGGACACTTGGGTCATATGGGAGGGTACTCAGTCATAATCCTGCAGTGCCCCCCCAGCCAGGTACCCCACTTCTCTGCAATGCGTGAACATCAACATCTCCCCGGATGAGGTGTGCAGGAAGGCCTATTCCGGGGCCATCAAGCCTGGCATGGTCTGTGCAGGAGTTCCCCAGGGTGGGAAGGACTCTTGTCAGGTAAGGCCCAGGGTGGGAGCTGGGGGAGGGATTATTTGGGACCGGGATTTAGGCCCCAAATGATGTCAGGAGCACGGAAGTCTGCAGAAGTCTTCAGAAGAGAGGGAACTGGAGGGACAGAGAGATTCCGATAGCCAGTCTGCCCTGCTTCCTAGCCCTGTGCCGCCTGGGTAATGGACTCAAAGCGTTCATGCCTCAGTTTCCCCATCTGTCAGGTGGGGATAACCCTCTCAGGGTAGTTGGTGGAAGGGGATGAGACAGGCTGGGGAAAGATTGCAGAGTGGTGTCTGCACATATGGGTCTGGGAAAGACTGCGCCCAGGCTTCTAGAAATCTGAATGCATCCTTGGAGTGGCAGAGACCGGGACACAGGAAGAGACACACAAGTGTTCTAGAGATGGAGCAGAGAGGGACCCGGTGAGACCCAAGGGACAGGCAGGTGCAGACACAGAGACAGAGCCGGACCCAGCGGAGAGGGAAGGAAGTGCCCCACCTCCGGGGCTGAGACCTCAGAGCTGGGGCAGGACAACGTCCTTACCTGTCTGCCCGGCGTCTCTCTGCCTGTCTCCGTGACTATCTCTGCTTCCTGGGTTCTCTGTGCCGTGGCTCTGGCCACCTGTCCATCAGTGTCTCCATCTCTGTTCCTCCCCCTCAGGGTGACTCTGGGGGACCCTTGGTGTGCAAAGGAAAGCTCCAGGGCCTCGTGTCTTGGGGAATGGAGCGCTGTGCCCTGCCTGGCTACCCCGGTGTCTACACCAACTTGTGCAAGTACCGAAGCTGGATTGAGGAAACGATGCGGGGCAAATGATGGCCGTCATGGAGGGATGGACCTCGTCAGCTGCCTCCTCTCTCCACTCAGGACCCACGAGTCCAGGCCCCAGCCCCTCCTCCCTCAGACCCAGGAGTCCAGGCCCCAGCCCCTCCTCCCTCA